GACCGGTAACCCAGCTCCCCTCCTCCTCCTCCTCCCGCTGCTTCCCGGCCGGTTTCGGTTCTTTCTGACAGATCTCACATAAGACGTCGCCTACCCGCCGGGGAGGGACTTCCGGTGCGACCCCTAAGTGCTTCCGGTTCGCCCTCGGGATGCCTAGGCAACCGAGATGGGAGTCAAGGAGGAATTCAGGGACGGGTTCTCTTGGGGGAAGGAATTTATGCGATTCCTCAGGGGTTGGTTTTTTCTTCTTCTTCTTCCCAAAGGCCTTTTTCCTCCCCAAACCTTGGGTTGTTTGATTCATTTTTATTCATTTTAACTGTCAGTTGATTTGCTCGTGTTTACTCGTTTTTATACGTATTAAAACGAATCGGTGTGTTTAAATAATATCATGTCCCCCCCCCCTTGCAAGAGGCTGACAGAGCCATGGCAGAACGTGGACTGGGAATGTTACCGCTTTGGACTACAGTTCCCAAAATCCACCGGCTAGCATGGGGGATTCTGGGAATTGTAGTCCCATGAAAAAGCAGCGTTTCCAGGCTCTCTGCCCGTAACATGTGAATGCTACAAATAATTACACTCCATCCTAGTATATCCACTTATAACTAAAGGCCGTTGAACACAATGCCACTCACTTATGGCCAGACACATATAAGGAGATTGTGCTAAAAATACAGAGGCAGTGGAGGCCTCTACTCACAAGTAAACCTGGCTGAGAACACTGAAGAGGCTTAGGTCTGCACCTTGACCTTGGAGGAAGTCCAACTGAACTCTAAGGGGTTTCTTAAGTCGATGTGCCCTGTGTTGCAAATCAACAGCCGGTGAGGCAACAAAGTGCAATAAGGCGTCTGGTTTTGAAGGCACCCCCTGAGAAAACAACAGCCCAGAAAAAAATAAAGACCAGCCTGTAAAACCCCATGATCATGGGAAGAGGAAGGAATTTTAACAGGTATGACTTGATAGGAAATATGGGAGACAGGCCAGAGGAAAGGTTTATCTTTGCTCAACCAATCCCTTTCTGCAAGGCTGAGTTGGCACCTATGGCGTCTGGCACTGTCTCTCGCCCACTTCATTCTGAAACAGGAGAGGCAGAAGCCCCTCATAAAAAAGGAGGAGGAGAATATGGTGTTTTCCCCCTCCCTCAAAGAAAGAAAATTTGTCCTTTAAAAAGAAATAAAGTGGATTAGGGTGGGAGGTACAGCATTTTTATTTTTATTTTTTGCTCACCAGTATACAGTATTTACCTCTGGATTTCAGCCATATCTACCTTTTACAGTCCTGGGGAAAAACCTCACTCACTGCAGCATAGTTACAGCCCTGCCTTTTCTCTTATGCAGAATATATGGCTCAACCAGATTACTGTATCCTATTTCCATTATTCCAATATCATTAATACAAAGTCTTGCCTAGCATACAGCAAATAAATCAACTGCAAAGTTCCCATTTCTGAAACATATGTCATTGGTTTTCGTGGTACAGTACAAATAAAATAAAAGAAGAGGGTGGCTCACATTCTGTTGAAGACAGAAACAAGGAACTGATTCTCCAAAATCAGATCAAATGCATAAAGCATCATGTAACAGACAGAAATTTAGACAGGGAAATATCTTCCCCACATAGCAGGTGCCCCTCCCATGGTCGGATAAGATTACTAGACAATGCACACTTGCATGACAAGGAGTGTATTTCTCATAGTTGATTCAGTTTAGAAACCACACAATAATCCTCAAGCAATCTCTCCTTTCATAACCAGTTGGAGCAATGAAAAACCAGCTTAAAAAAAAACAGATTGCCAAAAGTAAAATGTTTCCGCATCACAAAATCTGACAAACATTCAGTATAAATTCTTAGCCAATATCTATTGGAGACAAAACCAGAAACACAGGCAAAACTGTTTGATTCATTCTGTCCTTTGATGGAACTAAAGGCAAGTAAGAGCCAGCTCATGCTGGCATATAGTTATGATATATGATTCCCTGATGGCACTGTTTGGCATGGGGGTGGGAAGACACGTATTTAAAACGATCCCTGTAAGAGCTGGCTCTCATCTTTCTGGCACAGGGTTAGGGTGTGCAATCTTTTTTCATATGATTCACTGAGAGGCAAAATAGTTACAGTACTTGTTCTGCCTTTGCAGATGGGTATAAATAGATTGCACTGGAAATAGGGACCTTAAGCACTGTCCAAATTTCAATGTGCGCAGGCCCTAAGACTGCATGTCTTCCTCTCCTCAATTTTTGTGCCTGACCCTCTAAATTTCCTGCTGGCATGTTATATGTTTCTCCTTTCAGTGTAACCTTATTTAGGATTTTCACCATTATAATCTGATTAATGTACTGGGGGTGATGATGATAAAGATTTTGTATTCCTTTTCCTCAAATTTGTTGGCATAATAAATGGAAGCAGATTATGTTGGGACGAAATGCCCAAGTGTCAAAAGTGAAGAAGTCAAGACAATGTTTCAGCTTCTCCGTTTGCGGTGCCTGCCAGCCAACCAGCCCGCCCGCCAAGTCCCTCGGCGGGACACTCAATTCTATTCACACAGCACTCTCCATTCTTTGTTTTTCTTTCTGGCACTTATTAAGCATGTTCTGTCAGCTCTGGCCTATTTTTACGTCCCTTTCATACAATGTTATTTTTTTATATTTCTTCCCCTTACTTCTTAGTAACCTGATTTCATCTCCAATCCTGTCCAAACTCAACATCTGATTTCACTATTAGTGAGCATAATGCATTCAGATGTGCAGGGAGATAGGTTATTACTTTCATTTGTAATTCCTTCTAATTCAGTATTTACTTACTAACATCCCAGCCTTTTCTGTCCGGAATCACTCTAAGTTGCATACATTTAGGAAAGGTTCTGTTGACTTGCCTTCCACTTCAAGGACTGTGAGAGGCCATTTAGAATGCCATGAACTTAATATTTCACCTCGCATCTTCTATCATTGATTTCTCAAAAGCATTAATGATTCATGTTAAATTTCCTTTTGCAAATGCCACATAAACAAATACAAAACAAGGCCCTGTCTTATCAGGATTTTGCTGGATCTGGACCATATTTACATGCTGAGGAAAAGGCACACCATGCAGCCTCTTTCTATCCCTGAGCAAAATCACAAGCTCCTTTTAATTCCCAGTAAAAGCTGCCATGAGCCTTCACTTCCCATGCACTCTGCATATGTTCTATAAAGACAAGTTACTCTGTTAACGTGGCTTGAGCAGCTTAGCTTTTGGATCAGATTAAACCAAGGACAGCTCTGCAAAAAAAATAGAAACCTCTAGGCCAAGAGTGGACTATTTCTCAGAGGTTACCTTTATTTAAAAGAAAAAAGGTAAAATATTGACAAAGGAACAAAGCTTTTACGTTGTAAATATTACTTTGCATCACTACCTATGCAAGGCGTAAACTAGCACAGAAAAACTAAGAATGCAGCTATCATAACCTAGCCAAGATTCCTAACAGTCACCAACTGGCAAAATCTGATGGCCTGACTTACGTAAATATAAATTCTGGTTCCCTCTCTCCTGAGGCTCCATCTCTCCACTCAGGCTACACCTCTCTGTCTCCCTCTGTTTTAAGTTCCCTGCTTGGCTTGTGTATTTCATGGGAATCTGGCCTCAGATATTTCAAAAAGCTTTCTGAAGTATCTCTTAACCTGGATGCTTGAGCTGCAGGCAGAAACCAGATGTCCCCGTGTTTATTTAGCATGTCAAGGGGTCTACAGTACTGTACTTGTGAATTGCTTCCTTCCCTTTTAGCAACAAATAGAGGTCTTCCTGGATCCTCTAATTTCATAATAACTGTGTGTAACTTTGTAACTTTATGGCTGGTCCTGTCTCTTTTTTTCCTCTCTCAGCCAGCCACAGTGGTGCTGCGTCACCACACCGTTCACTTCTAACTGGGCTGCTTTAGTCACTGGTTAGATCTAAGGTCTAGTTGTGCAAACGTTTTTAAAAATTGAAACATAGCGAAGCAATAAAAATTATGTTGGAGTTTTTGTTTGGTTTTGATTTTGTTTTTTGCAACCTGGCATGCTACTTTTAGCAGGTTTGGCTGGGAGAGACCTTTCCGGGGTGGGGTGACTGCCAGTCTGTCCAGCACTAACCAGTCTTTCCCTCCCAGCATCTGAATTCAAGGAGAGTGCCACCTCTCTGCTCTGCTTCTTTTTCCCTCTTTTGTCTGCGGGAAGGTACTAGTCTTTGTCAGGCTGTTACTGAAAGCAGCCGTGCTGTTAGTTTGCTGTTTTCTGTTCAACAGTAAGTAAATGAAAACTTCTTATTCTTTCTACTATTTATGTCTAAGAATGAGTTACTGAGACTGTAACTGCCAGTTAGTGAGAAAAAGGAGTGGACTGAACCGGGGAATTTAAAGCTATTCTGCTCTGTGTATCCTTACACTTCTGCTGCACAAGTAGAGATATTTAACTAAAATTCAAAACTGCAAAAATTAAACTAATTTTGCAAGGTGAAACATGACACCTTGTCTTCCTTTTGTGTTCCCTCCAAACAGCTCAAGGTGTTTTCCGAAATCTGTTCTCATCAATATATTGTATAGATCAAAGGCAAGAAACCAAGAAGACCTAAGCATTGTGGCATTTTTTGAAGTATATGCCAAAAACATGTCCCAGGACTGGAGAATGTGGCCATCCAGATATTGCAAAACTGCATGTCCCATAACCCATCACCATTCACGAGGCTGTATACACCTGATGTTAGTTGCAGTCCAGAAATATCTGGTATGCCATGTGTTTACCAGCCATGTCTTACATCAGATCCCAACATGCTGTAAAATGGGGTTGTGAATCCTGGCCTCTAGTGTTGTGGAACAGAAATTCTTGTTAGACGCATCTGTATGAACAACAAATTTTACAGGAGGCTGGGTTAGATTCAGAAGAAAGAGAATTTAAGATTGCTGAAAGAAATATCAGTAATGTGAGATGTGCAGATGACACTGCATTACTGGCAAAAAGCGGCAATGACTTGAAACAACTCCTCATGAAGGTGAAAGAAGGAAGTAGCAAACCAGGACCACCACTAAATATTAAAATGTCAAGTAGCAGGTCTACAAGAGAATTGCATAACTTT